AGCAGTAGAGGAAGAAGCAGATGAAGGAGAAGAAACAGAAGAAGATGAAGAAGAAGAAGAAGGCAATGCATCACCACCAACACCCCCATTCAAATATGCAGGAATATACCCCCTGCTGCTTGTGCTGCTGCAGCTGCAGCTGCTCGACGACGAACCCCCGCTGCTGCTGCCGCTGCTGCTGCTGCTGCTGCTGTTGCTGTTGCTGCTGCTGCTGCTGCTGCCAGTGAAAGCAGCATCCACAGGGCAGGGAGAGCAAGGGTTAATAAGAGAAAATATATCTGCAGAAGAAGGAGGGGCCCCGGGGGCTGGGGGCCTCTCATCCCCCCCCCCTTCTCCTTCGGTGTATAACAAGCGTCGTTGCTGCTTGATACAGGGGCCCCCCCAAGCAGCAGCAGCAGCAGCAGCAGCAGCAGCAGCAGCAGCAGAAGGTGCAGCAGCAGAAGCTGCATTACCACCGCAAAAGAAAGATATACTAGGGGGCCCCTCACCCAAACCACAAGAAGCAACAGAGCAGCAGCAGGGGGCCCCCTGGCAGGGCCTCTTCGTTCTGAACCCTCCCTCTATTACAGCAGCAGAAGTTGAATCAAAGGGGGCCCCCCCCGCTGCTGGGGGCCCCCCCCTGAATGTTGTTAGTGGGGGGGCCCCCGGGGGCCCCCTGATGGCGGCTAAACCCCTCCTCGATACCCCTTGGCGGTGCCGCCTGCGTTGGGGTTTGTGGGGGGTTGCTGCTGCTGCTGCTGCTGCTGCTGTTGGCTTCGTGCTGGTACCCTCTATAAATTCTGCTGCTGCAACTGCAATATCTGCTGCTGCTGCTGCTGCTGTTGGTGCTGCTGTTGCTCCGTTGTCTGAGTCTGTTCGCGCTGCTGTTGCTGCTGCTGCTGCTGCTGCTGCTGCTGCTGATATGCGTGCGTTGCTGCTTTCTACGCAATTCTGTCTGCTTCCCGCTGCACCAGCAGTAGCAGCAGCAGCAGCAGCAGCAGCAGCAACTGCTGCTGCTGCTGCTGCTGCTGTGTCTTGCATTCTCCCCCCTTCTGAGGTGTACATACACCTGGTTTGTGGCCGCTCGCTGCCCCTGAATATATCAACAAAACCATCGACTTCATCTCTATGGTTTAAATATTCTTCTGCTGCTGGCAGTGCAGCAGCAGCTTCAACTACAGACCCTCGGGGTGTAATCACAAAGTCTGTGGGGGCCCCAGGGGCCCCCCTTGCTGCTGCCATTGCTGCTGCTGCTGCTGCTGCTGCTGCTGCTGTTGTTGCTGTTGTTGCTTCTGCTGCTGCAGCAGAGGGGGGGCCCCCTACCGTGCTGCTAGGAGGACAGGGGGGGTTTGAATCGCTGTAAGCAGGGGGCCCCCAGTTTGTGTTTGGGGGCCCCCTTGCATTCTCTTCTGTTGCAGCATGAGCAGCAGCAGCAGCAGCAGCAGGAGCAGCAGCAGCAGCAGCAGCAGCAGGAGGTGCAGGGTCTTGTATGAGTTGTAAGAGAGCCTTAAGGTCTGTATTAGTTAAGGAGTTTATATTGAGGGCCCGCAGCAGCAGCTGCTGCAGCAGCTCTGCTTCTCTGTCTTCCTGCTGCAGCAGCAAGTCCAGCTGTCTTCTCTCCTCCTTTATAAAATAATTTATTTTTTCTGTTGCTGCTGCTGCCAGCCGCTTAACTGCTGCTGATAGCATGCGATGCATAAACGTAGAACACACCAACGAACGGACCCCATCATCTACGCATCCCGATCCTGCTGCTGCTGCTGCTGCTGCTGCTGCTGTTGCTGCTGCTGCTGCTGTTGCTGTTGCTGTTGCTGTTGTTGCAGCATCAGCAGCAGCTGCTGCTGTTGCTGTTGCAGCTCCTGCTGCTGGCAGGGTTGGCGCAGCTGCGGGTGGCGCTTCTGCTTCTGCTGTTGCTATTGCTGTTGCTGCTGCTGTTGCTGCTGCTGCTGCTGCGGGTGTTGCTGCAGCTGCTGAACCTGTGAAAGGGCTGCAAGCGGCAGTTTGCATATCCTGTGTTCCTGCATTTGCTGCTGCTGCTGTTGCTGCTGCTGTTGCTGCTGCTGCTGCTGCTGCTGCTGCTGCTGTAGCTTTCGAGGTGAGTAAGCCTTGCTTGGTGACGCCTCCGCCGCACAAGAGGGGCCCCAAACCAGGGGGCCCCCCACCCCCGCCACAGGCTAAGCTGGGGGGAGGGGGGGGCCCCAGCTGCTGCTGCTGCTGTGCGCTGCTTTCGCTTGAGACAGCAGCGGGAGTTGTTGCCTCTGTTGTAAGCATTCCTTGGGGCCCCCGGGGGCCCCCCTGGGGGCCCTCCTGGGGGCCCCCTGTACTGCAACGTCCTGGGGCCGCCAGGCCTGCCCCTGAACAAAGGGGGGGGGGCCCTGAGCAGAGAAAGGGGGCCCCCGGGCGGAGGAGGGGGGCCCCCGCGTTGGGTTTCTCTGTGTGGTTTGGGTTTGGTGCTGGTGCAGCCTCTGGCTGACTCTCTGTCTTTTCAGGGGCAGCATCATCCGAAGGAAACGGCGCCTTTCTCTTCTTTTGCTTGATAGACCCAGAACGCAGAGAGAAAGCAGAGGAAGGGGGGCCCCCATGGCCTCTATGAGGGGTTTGGGGGGCCCCCAGCCCCTCTGCTTGCAGACTGACGAAGGGAGACGTTGAGCTTTGTGAGAAAGAATAAAGAGGATGCTGCTGCTGCTGCAGCTGGTATAGTTGCTGCTGCTGTTGCTGCTGATGAGGGTGTGGCCACAGGAACTGCTGCTGCTGCTGTTGCTGCTGCGGGTGTGGCCACAGGAATTGCTGCTGCTGCTGCTGCTGCTGCTCCTGCTCCTGCTCGTGCCGCTGCTCCTGCTGCTGCAGCTCCTGCTGCTGCAGCTGTTGATGTTGAGGGTCACTCTGCTGCATCCCCCCTACTCCAGCAGCTGCACAGGAGTGAGTTTCATATTGCCTTGTGGTGCTGCAACTGGAAAGAAGTGAGGGAGCCGCAGACGGGTCGCCGTGTTGTATGGGTGCGGCGGGTGTTTCAGGTGTATGTACACCTGAACTGGGGAGAGGGGCCTGGCTTGCATGAGATGAAGTATTAACAGATGGCCTGGTGAGGGGGATACCGTTGCAGGCGTCCAGCATCGTACCCAGCCTATCGAGAGGGGCCCCCGTGTACACCTGGTTTCGCTGCTTTCTGCAGTGCTGCAGCTTATGAGGGGCCCCTACGGGCTCTGGCTCTGCTGCTTTGAAGCCAAAGAGAAAACAAAGAATATTTTTATTGAGGATAAAAGAAGAGAGAAGAAAGCTAGGGAGAGATTCAGCAGCAAGGCACAGCTGAGCAGACTGGCCTCACCGCTCCTGACCACCCGCAAGCCACAAGCCGGTCTATACGGCCACCATTTTGCACAAAAAAAATAAACTAAATGCATTACTTATTAATTAATTTTATAGAAAACACCAAAATATTATTTGAAACGAAAACGCTCTTCGATTCAACACGCGCCGGGGTGGTCTTGGGCTTGTGTCTCGGGCTGCACGCATATTAGCGCTTCCTGAACTGCGCAGGCGACAGCAGCGAAATAATATTTTATTTTGTTGTAATTGAGGTTAAATAAGTTAGATTTTTCATTTAGGATAAAGGATAAAGGAGAGAAAGAGGGAAAACGATGAAGACCGCCCCCCGAGCAACCTGCCGCCGCACCGTCGTTGCTGCACTCCAGCCACCAGCAGGGGAGGCAGCTTGGGTCGAAGTAGCGGTCTTCTTGATGTTTCTTTTGAAGGAAGAAACTAAATTAGTATTTATTTTTATGAAAATAGTGAAAAAAGGCAAAGTTTCATGATTAAAACGGTGGCTTAACCGTGGCGGCGCGGGGCCTGCGCACTCGTGCACGCCGTTGCTCTGTTCAATGTGAAATGACGAAGGAAAGAAGAGGGAACTTGCGGGCCAAAATAAACAAATAAACTAATTTATAAACAGAAATTAAATTAAATTATAGAAAAACATAAGCTTTTTGAAGTTGTAAGAGCTGTATTATTTCGGCCGCTTACTGCTCTCTAGGCATCTGGTGTGCATCTGTAGGCGAAGGGAGGAGAGTCGGTTTCAGCACTGTCTGTAGCATTTCATGTTTCTTCCATTTCCATTTCTATAAATTTATTTTAATTTAATTAAAAGGAAATGTTGTATTTGAATGAAGAGAAAGAAGGCAGTCAACCCAAGCACAGATAGCCACCGACGACGAATCCCGCCGGGCTGCCGCAGCTATGCAGAAGCTGCTGCGGAGGTGAAACCTGCACCAACAGCCCGATCAAAACACTAAATTAATTTATATTTTTAATTAAATATTTTATTTAAAGTCTATTTCACTAATACTTCAACACTTTCATCGGTATTTGCAAGGGAAAGCACTCGATTGCCTCTTCCTCGTGAGTGGTGTTTCAGTTCAGTGTATGGCTGCCGGCGGCCACACACACTTTTGTGTATTTATTTTTTGTATGCTTGTAATAATTTATTTGAAATTATAATAAGTTAATATTTATTTTATATTTGTATTTCTTTGCGTGCTTGTTTTTTGCTTCACTTCTTCACAAAGAGGTTTCCTAATAAATATTCCCGTCGTGGCTGCATTTATCCTCATGCATTCAATGTCTCATCTCCCCCCTTTTGACTATATGTTTATTTTATAAAGAAAGCTGAATATTTATGTTTATCAAGAAAGAAAATAAACACTAGCTAGCTGCTCGCACGCTGGCTGGGTGTTCACCGTATACACCACCCATCCAACTTGCCGCTTTGTGATGATATATTGCAACAGAAGTCAATGAAATAACGAAAACAAATCTCATAAAAAAGTAAAATAAAAAAATAATTTTTTTTAGCTCCTAGAGGAATAACGACCCAGAGAGGGGCCTGCAATACAAAGCTCGAAAGACTGGTTTCTATAGACTAACAAATGCAAGAGAAAGAAGGGTTTATTTTCAGCTCTTAATCTATAAAAAAAAAAAAAACAAAATTTGTTTTATTTTCTGCATAAGTGTGGAATTTCGACTGAATACACGAAAGTGTATTTGTAGTGCAACTGTAAACTCATATTAGAGAAAGCAACTCTGGGGTGTCTACGCAGCTGCGAATAGAACACAAACTGGCGGGTGAAATATTTAAAACACATGAATATAACTAATTAAAAATGAGGACTTGAGCAGAGAAAACACATGCAATGCCCAGCCAGGGTGTACATGCTGCATGCTGAGCTGTGTTGCAGCACTTAGAAAAAAATAGAGGGGGCTTTGTTGAGCTGAAACCCTTTTTATTTTGCTTATAAAAACTCTTAGTTTTGTTTTTTTTTTATTTCAGTTTATATCGATTTCTATGAATGCTGTTGGGGGAGAAAACGAGCTCTCTGTGTGTGCTGTGTCAGTGAACTCGGGCTTGTATGCAGCACCAGTAACTCATAATTTAAATAAAATTTAAATTATAATTTATTTGGTGAATTGAAACAACAGTATTATCTTCGTTAGTCTGTTGCTTTTGCGTGCGGATGAGGGGTGTTTCAGCTGTATCTGCTGCTGCATATCTTTGCTTTCTGTGGTTTGTTGCACCCGTAACAACCC